TTTGGTTTCGCGTTGCGATTCTGTCGTTGCGATTTTCATTTCGCGTTGCGATTCTCTCGTTGCGATTTTAAGTTTCGTGTTGCGAAAGTAAACTATTTCTTCTTCTGCAAATTGAAACTTGAATGGATTGCATTACTTCAACCAATAGACAAAACAAAGACAAATACTGACTTCATGGTATTAGTTTAGCAGAATTGGCAGCAACCGAACAAATTTACTTTCAACCAAAAGACAAAACAAAGACAAATACTATTTCACAGTGTTAAAGAATACACAGTTTAGCAGAATTGGCAGCAACCGAATAAATTTACTAAGCAATCTAAGTGAAATGGCTAATCTAAGTGAAATTACGAGTAAATTTATCATTAAGTTAAATATGGAAAATCTTAAACTTATCTCGTTGCGTAGAGTATGAACCTCATTCTGCAACGATACTATCATCTCACGTAGAGCGGCAACCTCACCACGTAAAGTTGACACCTCCACACGCCATGCACCATCGTTATCGCGTAGAGTACCGATCTCCTCACGCAAGGCATTGACCTCATCACATAACTCATCCCGTGGAGGTGGAGAACAAGGAGATAAATGTCGTGGCCTCTTTACCGGTCGCCTATCATGAGGTAATGGTGGAGAAGAGGCTCGATGATGTGACGGGATAGGTGATGGCTCTCGTTCTAGAGGTGTATAGTCGGGTCGATCGGGTGATGGCTCTGGGTGAGGTGATGGCTCTCGAATTGGAGGAAGTGGATGCTGCTCATCATCCGTGCCATCAAAAAAACTCTGACTAGCTTGCCACCAATCAGTGGCAAGCTCTTCCTCCGTGGGTGTCAGTCTTTGTAATGGAATGTTGGCCTCCTAACAATATAAAAACTCAAACAAAGTTAAACGTCTACTATTAATAACTTGTTTATATATTATATGAAAGTATTTGTGTTAACTTACATTATTTATTGTCGCATATGGTATTAAGTCTTCCCAATCCAACAGATTTTTCCTCTTCCAGGAAATAGCCCTGGGAATATCATTTGACGTTTTTATTGCATATGTACGCATGCTGGGGAAAGCCTCGAATATCCAAATCTACAAACAATATAATAACAAAATTAGTAATTGTTAAATAATTAATTATAATTTTAGAAACATTATATAGAAATTCTTACCTTAAAGGCCCAAACAAAGCCTGACAAAGTGTATTTCGACCCATCGCCACGCAAACTTTTGCGGTCATCAAAGGCAGTAGACAACTTAGTCCAGGTAGCTTTCCATATATACGAACCCCACGGAAACAGATTCCATGCATTCAGGTCCTCTACCAATATTATTAGCTCCCGAGGAATAGGTTGTCTGGCCTCTCTGCCTAAAAAGCCGGCATACACAAGTAGTAGAAGGCATACTCGGAAAACATCGACGTCATCCATCCGAGTGAAACCATCTTTCTTATTAAACAATTTCTTCAGGTCGTCGACGTGTAGGTTCGGCTTCTCCATTGACTCATCCGGAAAAACCCGGGATAACCATGATGGGCGGGCGATATGACGAGTGTACCGGCCTACATCATCGTGTCCGAATCGTAGACCAGTGATTAAGCAGAACTCCTTCCGCCCAAAACAAGTATACGCTGGTGGAAAATGAAACCATATCTCTTCCTCACCACGTTGTATACTGTCGGGTAGATTTGATGTCATGGTCTGAAGCCACAAATGGGTCAAATTAGCATCTCCACCCGGATGCTGTACTCTCAGCCATGGCCCGAAGCAGGTTTCCTCAAACAATTGTCTTTGTGCAGGTGAAAGCTTCGAAGCAATTGTAGTGGCTAGGCTAACTTTATTCCTTAATGTCAATGAAGCCGAAAAAAATTTCTACAAAAACAATAAACATACCAAGTTAGATATACCAAAAACTACACTGTGAAGATATACCAAAAACAATAAACATAAAAAGTAGTAGTTTATTCTTGAAACTAAAATTTGCAACACTGTTTTGTCTTTTGGTTGAAATGAAAATCGCAACGAGAGAATGACAGTCGCAACGATTTTCATTTTGCGTTGCGATTCTCTCGTTGCGATTTTCATTTCGCGTTGCGATTCTCTCGTTGCGATTTTCATTTCTCTCGTTGCAGATAGTCATTTTCACGTTGCGATTTTCATTTCTCTCGTTGCGACTCTTCTGCAAATTGAAACTTGAATGGATTGCATTACTTCAACCAAAAGACAGAACAAAGACAAACACAAATACTAACTTGAAAATCGCAACGAGAGAATAACAACACGAAATGAAAATCGCAACGAGAGAATCGTAACGCGAAATGAAATCTAAGTGAAATGGTTAATCTATTATTGAAATGACCAGTAAACTTATCATCAGTTTCAATATGAAAAACCTACAATAATGCAAAAATTTCAAAATAAAAATAATTAAAAAAACTAACCCTCGGAGGTTGATTTTCCATTTCTGAATATTGTGAGGGATTTCTGACCGTGAATGGTTGTGAGGGATTTCGCCGGAGATGGGGACGGAAATCTTCGGAGATGGGGACGGATTTCGCCGTAGAGAGTGAGAGATGGAGATGGGACTGAGTTGTGATTTTAGGTTTTAAGTTATGAGTTGCGATTACGGGATTTTGTCTTAATATTCGTTTTTGTAATTTGAAAATAAAATACGCGTAGCGATTATAATGGCACTTTAAAAATCGCGTTGCGATTTACGGATACGCGTTGCGATTTTACGTATTGTCGTTGCGATTTACGGATACGCGTTGCGATGTACGGATAAGCATTGCGATTTACGGATACACGTTGCGATTTACGGATACACGTTGCGATTTACGGATACGCGTTGCGATTTATGTGTTCGCGTTGCGATTTTCATATTCGCGTTGCGATTCTGGAAAATCGCAATGCGAATTTGTACTATCGCATTGCGATTTTCAAGAATCGCGTTGCGATTTTGGAAATTGATTTGCGATTCAGGGGATCGTGTTGCGATTTTTATTTCGCGTTGCGATTTTGTTGGTCATTTTGGCAAATCCAAAAAAAGTTGGTTAAAATCGTATATTATAAGGCATTTTTGGTCACTGAGGCGATTTTCTCTAAAAATAAATATTTGAATCTAAAAAATATAAATATTTATTAAATATTTAATCAAATAGTGGTTGAGCTAAAGAATTATAAGTACGTGTTCTCAAATTTTTAGTTTAATTATAATTTAGGTCATTGTAAATTTAAATATTAGACAAATTAGAAGTTTATTGTGAATTTTGAGTTTTTTATTATAAATTTAAGGTGAATACAAGGTAGTATATGTACAAAGACTTTCAACTATTTGACAATGAACGCTCATACTCCTACATACACAGTGCTTGAACTCGGGACCTCAAGTATAACAACAATCTCCTTAATCACTAAAGTTGTTTGTTCATGCTATTTAAAATTTAAATACCTAATAAGTTTTTATATTTTTCTTAAATAGTCTAATATTTCGACCCTTGAGAATATTTAATTTTAACTCTGTCTCTGCTTACAAATATGAAGGGTGTGCATTCTACACAGTTGAATTAAAAAATTAAATTATTTGAGTTGGAATTTTATTTTATAATTTAAATTTTATTAAAAAAAATTACAAGTTCATTCGATTTAAATTGTTTGAATTTCTATTTTAATTTAATTATAAATATTTATAATATTATAGTACTTATTTAATTTTAATTTAAATAATTTTCTATAATCATATACAATATATATACATCAAACGGAACTGAGAGAATCAACTTAAACTTAAAATACACTAATTTAAGGCGGTTACTTAATGTGGTTTCCACATATGAGATCATCAGCTCAGCTAGCAGTAGCGCTACAACTTTCCACTTGAGATGCACTAAAAATTTAAAAGCGTGGTCCGTTCACATGCTTGCTTTCCTTCTTCCTCACCCAAACTATACATACGACGACCTAATATCTGTCCATTACCATCTTCTCCGGACTTTTCCCTTCTTTCTTCAGCTCCCCAGAAAGGTAAATGCCTTGAAAGTCTCTTTATTTACACGTATTTCACAACCAATTTTGTTTTCTTTTATTCAGCTACCTTCCTTGCTTGTCCCTTTCATCTCCAATCTTTATGCTCTGTTTCTACGGAATTCTGGGTTTTCTTTCATTTGTTCATTTATGTTCAAATATTTCGTCTTTTTCTGTGTCCCGGATCCCTCATTATGAACTCATGAGCAACAGCTGATAACTCATTTCCAATGTCAGTTTCAATTCTTGCATCATTGCTGTTTCTGTACTTCCAATTTCTCTTAGCTGCTGAATATGTACCAACTGAGAAAATCCTCCTAAACTGCGGCGAGAAATCGGAGCTCGCCGAAAACGATGACCGGAAATGGACCCCGGATTTTGGGCAGTAAGTTCCTTGTCGGAAATGGGAACTCCGTGGCTTCCCGAGCTGCCACGCAAGATCCCTCGGTCCCTGAAGTTCCTTACTTTACCGCCCGTGTTTTTCGTTCCGAATTTACCTTTAACTTCCCGGTCGTGGCCGGTCGGAAATTTGTTAGGCTGTATTTCTATGCTAATTCATACGATGGCCGGAATTCGAGTAATGCTTTGTTTTCGGTCACATCCGGTTCTTATACTCTTCTCAAGAATTTCAGTGCTGCTCAAACGAGTGAAGCTATGAACTACGCTTTTATTGTTAAGGAGTATTCCATCAATGTAGACGGTGACCGCTTGAACTTGACGTTTAGTCCCGGTTCCGCTCCTTCAAATGCCTATGCGTTTGTCAATGGGATTGAGGTTTTGTCGATGCCTGATATTTATAGTAACACCGATGGAATACCGGTCGTGGGACAAAACTCGCCCTTCACCATCGATAACAGCACCGCTCTCTAGAATGTTTATCGGCTGAATGTGGGTAGAAACGACATCTCGCCTTCGGGTGATACAGGTCTGTTTAGGTCTTGGTATGATGACCAGCCTTACCTGTTTGGTGCAACCTATGGAGTTTCGATGGCTGCAGATCCAAATATCACGATCGATTATGGTACCACGCCTAGGTATATTGCACCACAAAATGTGTACACCACTGCTAGATCCATGGGGTCGAATGCTCAAGTGAACTATAACTACAATTTAACCTGGATGTTCGGTGTTGACTCTGGATTCTCTTTCCTGGTCAGGCTACATTTCTGTGAGTTTACAGATAATATTACTAAGGTTAATCAACGCGTGTTTGATGTCTTTCTTAACAATCGGACCGCCGAGCAAGGGGTTGACGTGATTTTGCTGGTGAATGAACAAGTATATGTTCCTTTGTATAGGGATTATGTGGTCATGGTTCCTGGAGGGAATTTACAGCAGGATCTATGGCTTGCATTGCATCCAGACCCGAATAGCAAGCCCCAGTATCATGATGCAATCTTAAATGGTGTCGAGATATTCAAGACAAGTGATCCGAAAAGCAACTTAGCAGGGCCTAATCTTACCCCCAGTCCAAAACATAATGTGGTTGGTTCGTCGTTGGCTTTGTCATCTCGTCAAGGTCATTCGACGAATCGACCTGCAATTATTGCTGGGGGGTTGGTGGTGGGCTGATTCTAGCTCTTGCTATCGGTCTCTGTGTTGTTGCTGCTGCTTCACGCCACCATATGCACAATGGTGCAAAGTATACGAGTGCAAGTTCACACACTACAGGTTCGGCGAAGACAAATACTACAGGGAGCTATGCTTCCTCCCTCCCTTCGAATCTTTGCCGCCATTTCTCATTTGTTGAGATCAAGACCGCCACGAACAATTTTGATGATTCTTTAGTCCTTGGGGTGGGAGGTTTTGGCAAAGTTTACAAGGGAGAAATTGATGGCGGGACGACTAAAGTTGCAATCAAGCGTGGCAACCCGCTATCCGAGCAAGGTGTGCATGAATTCCAAACTGAGATTGAAATGCTCTCTAAACTCCGCCTCCGCCACCTTGTTTCGTTGATCAGGTATTGCGAAGAGAACTGTGAGATGATCTTTGTTTATGATTATATGGCTCATAGAACATTGCGTGAACATCTGTACATAACCAAAAAGCCACCACTTCCATGGAAATAAAGGCTTGAAATATGCATCAGGGCTGCCCGTGGTTTGCACTATCTCCACACCGGTGCCAAGCACACTATTATTCACCGGGATGTGAAGACGATAAACATTCTTCTGGACGGGAAGTGGGTGGCGAAAGTTTCCGATTTTGGATTGTCGAAAATCGGCACACATTGGATCATACTCATGTGAGCACTGTCGTGAAGGGTAGCTTCGGCTATTTGGACCCCGAGTATTTCAGAATACAGCAGCTAACCGATAAGTCTGATGTTTACTCTTTTGGGTTTGTCATGTTCGAAATCCTTTGCACACGCCCTGCATTGAATCCTACGCTGCCAAAGGAGCAAGTAAGCCTTGCAGAGTGGGTCGCACATTGTTACAAGAAAGTGTTAGTTGTCAGATATTTAGTTAGTTAAGCTGTTGATAATTAGATAGATTGTTGTTGTTAATTAGTTCGTTTGTTAGTGAGGTTAGTAACTGTTAGTGGCTGTATATAAAGGCTTTAGTTTTGTAAACTGATGATTATGATGAGTAAAATAGTTGGAGCACGTTTTCTGTAAATATGCCTTTTTAACATGGTATCAGAGCCAGGTTAATTTCCCTTGACTTTGCTTTGCACGGTCAAAATTGATTTAGAGATTTTACTTCTCTTTTCCTCTCCTTCGCAGCCATGGAGAATTCAACCTTCGATTTCAATCATCCGTTATTCCTGTATGCCATGGAGCGATTTGCCAAGGTTGATGGTTCCAGATCGTTCTTCCTTCACCGAGAAATCACGCTCCTCAATCAAGGTGATTCTTCCATCTCAACATATTTCACTCGATTAAAATCGCTATGGGACGAGTATGAAGCCTTGGCTCCCATTTCCCCTTGTGGTTGTGCTCTTTCACAACGCACAACAGCTCACTACACACAACAGAAATTATTTCAATTTCTCATGGGTCTCAATGAGACGTTTACTGCTGTGCGGAGTCAAATTCTGCTTATGCAGCCATTGTCGACTGTCAATATGGCATATTCGATGCTGGTTCAGGAGGACTCGCAGAGGGTTCACTATTCTGCCCTTTCTTCAATCTTTGAGGTCTCGACTTTATACTCTATCTCTGCTGGGACTATTGATCGGAAAAAATTCTCTGGTGTGTGTGATTACTGTAAAATTCGAGGGCATAAGCGTGAGAATTGCTACCGGTTGATAAGATTCCCGGCTGATTTTAAGTTTTCCAAGAAGAAATGTGGTCGGGTTGCTTTGGCCTCTACTAGGTCTCCTCTCGGGTCTCACAATCATTCAAGTTCTGAGTCCCAACCTGAAGCAGTCTCCAATGTTCCTATGTTTACAAAGGCTCAGTATGATCAGATACTTCATCTCTTGAACACGGCGCCTTCTGTGGATACAGTGACACATGCTGCAGCAAATACTATAGGTATTAACGCTGCCACTACCAATTTTTCTTTCAATTGGATATTAGACTCAGGGGCCACTGACCATATGTTATCAGATTTTAATAGACTAAAATCTCATGTTCCATGTACATCAGCTTCTAGACTTGTACACTTACCTAATGGCCAAACATCTCCCATAACACATATAGGTTCTGGTTACCTTGACCAGAATAATACCCTTAAGAATGTCCTGTATATACCAAATTTTGCACATAACCTTCTATATGTTTCCAAACTGACCAAAGAGCTTAATTGTACTGTTTCCTTTTATCCTGAATTATGCATTTTACAGGATCTATCCACTGGAAAGATGAAGGGGATTGGTAGAGAGTCTCGTGGGCTGTATTTTTTTGATTCTTCAACTTTTGATTCTGGTATTTTTTCTGTTCCTCACTGTCATTCCTTTTCTTGTACTCCTGCTTTGGGTTCTTCAAAATGTATGAATCTTTCAACTATTAATAATACAAAGATTTGGCATGCTCGTTTAGGACACCCCTCTTTCTCTAGTTTACATAAAATCCCATATTTACAATCTTATAAGTTTGATGTTGACAGTGTCCATAAATGCTCTATTTGTCCTCTTGCTAAACAATCTAGGTTACTCTTTCCCCACAGTATATCTAGAGCTTCTACACCTTTTGATTTGATACATATTGACTTATGGGGACCCTATAGGATTTCCACTCATAGTGGTCATAGGTCTTTTCTCACCATTGTTGATGATCACACAAGGGTGTCTTGGATTTTTTTGTTGAGGCTTAAGAGTGATGCAATCCTTTCTTTAAAACAATTCTTTGCCTATGTAAGAAATCATTTTTCAGTCACAATTAAATTCATTAGAAGTGACAATGGTTCTGAGTTTTTTGCTAGTGAGTGTTCTTCTTTTTTTTCTTCATTGGGTATTATTCATCAAAGTTCCTGTGTTCATACTCCTCAACAAAATGGTATTGTTGAAAGAAAACACAAGCATTTGTTAGAGGTAGCTAGAGCTCTCAAATTTCATTCCCAAGTTCCTGTTAAGTTTTGGGGGGAATGTGTCAACACAACCTGTTATATCATTAACAGGTTGCCTTCTTCTTCTTTAGCTGGAAAATGTCCCTTTGAACTTCTTCATGGTAAACCTCCAAATTTGTCTCATATGAGAATTTTTGGTTGTTTATGTTATGCCACTCAACCAAACTACAAGGACAAGTTCTCTCCAAAAGCAATACCTTCTATCTTTACGGGTTATTCTGTCACTCAAAAAGGTTACCTCTTGTTTAATCTTGAAAAACAAACATTCTTTGTTAATAGAGATGTAAAGTTCCATGAGGACATTTTTCCCTTCAAGTTTCCCATTTCTTCTTCTTCCCTATTTTTTCCTATTCAAGAACTTTCTGACTCTGATTTTCTGGTCATGCCCTCTCACACCCAAGCTCATGTACCTTCTGTGTCTACATCACCTCAAGCTTCAACAAATAATTTTTTTTTACCTCCTCCTTCACCTCAACCCATTATTTCTGATGACTCTTCATCAAGTAGCATTTCTATCCCTCCTAGGCAGTCTACTAGGGTCAAAAAACAGCCTGCTTGGTTACATGATTTTGTGCAGTCCTACCAATCTTCTCTCTTCCAAGTACTTATCCAATTTCTCACTTTCTTTCTTATTCTCATCTTCCTGCTAAAACTTAGCTTTATCTTTCTTCTATCTCTCATTTGGTTGAGCCTAAGACATATGCTGAAGCCATTCAAAATCCTGAGTGGATTAAAGCTATGAATGAAGAGATTTTAGCCTTGGAATCTAATAATACCTGGTGATTGGTTCCCTTACCTTCTAATAAGACTCCTATTGGAAGTAAGTGGGCGTATCGTATCAAATATAATTCGAATGGAGAAGTGGAGAGGTTTAAAGCACGTCTCGTTGCTAAAGGATACACTTAAAGAGAAGGGGTTGATTATGTTGAGACCTTCTCACCTGTGGCAAAGATGGTCACTGTCAGAACAGTCCTGGCTCTTGCTTCTATTCATCAATGGCCTCTTTTTCAGATGGATGTATACAATGCCTTCCTCCAAGGTGATCTAGTTGAAGAGGTATACATGTCCTTACCTGAGGGTTTTTGCAGTCAGGGGGAGCCCAGGGTGTGTAGACTGCACAAATCTTTGTATGGACTGAAGCAGGCTTCAAGGCAGTGGAACATGAAGCTGACAGAAGCTCTTCTAGAGGCAGAGTATTCTCAAAGCAAATTTGATTACTCATTGTTCACTAAGTCACAAGGAAGCAAGATAGTTATAATGCTCATATATGTGGATGATCTGTTGATAACTGGAAATGACAGTGGATTGATTGAAGAACTTAAAGGAATTCTAAATAGAAACTTCAAGATGAAAGATCTTGGTAAACTAAGGTATTTTCTTGGCTTAGAAATATTAAGATAAAAAAGGGGAATAATTATAAGCCAAAGGAAGTATGCATTGGAGTTAATTGAAGAAACTGGACTAGGGGGTGCAAGGCCTGCTGTAACTCCCTTGGAATAAAATAAGAGGTTGGTTTCAGAGGATGAGCTATTAAAGGAAAAGACAAGTTATCAAAGGTTGATAGGGAAGCTAATTTACCTTACCAGCACAAGGCCTGATATTGCTTATTCAGTACAATTACTGAGTCAATTCATGCAGCAACCAAGGAAAATACACTTGGATGCAGCTTTGAGGGTGGTCAGGTATATCAAAAGCAGTCCAGATCAAGGAGTGTTACTGAGTGCAGAAAGTCAGTCTCAACTTCAGGCTTTTTGTGATTCAGATTGGGCAACTTGCCCGATGACAAGGAGGTCAGTAACAGGTTTTTGTGTGAAGTTAGGGGACTCTTTGTTATCTTGGAAGTCCAAGAAACAAAATACAATTGCAAGGTCATCTGCAGAGGTAGAATATCTAAGGATGGCGATGACAGCTGCAGAAATAGTCTGGTTAACAGGTTTACTGAATGAACTTGGGTTTAAAAACACAGGACCAACAAAATTGATGTGTGATAATAAGGCAGCCCTTCAAATAGCATCAAATCCAGTTTTTCATGAGAGAACAAAGCACATTGAAATTGACTTCCATTTTGTTCGAGAAAAGATTTAAGAGGGAATAATTGAAACAGAGTATGTGAAGACAACGAATCAGCAGGCAGACATTCTAACAAAAGCTTTGGGAGTTCAACAGCATGAATAATTGTGTTCCAAGTTGGGGTTAATTAACATCTTTAACCACCAACTTGAGGGGGAGTGTAGTTGTCAGATATTTAGTTAGTTAAGTTGTTGATAATTAGTTAGATTGTTGTTGTTAATTAGTTAGTTTGTTAGTGAGGTTAGTAACTGTTAGTGGTTGTATATAAAGGCTTTAGTTTTGTAAACTGATGATTATGATGAGTAAAATAGTTGGAGCACGTTTTCTGTAAATATGCCTTTTTAACATAAAGGCATCCTTGATCAGATCATGGATCCTCATCTGAAAGGGAAGATAACACCAGAATGCTTCAAAAAGTTTGCAGAGACAGCAATGAAGTACGTGGCTGATCAGGGAATCGAGAGACCATTGATGGGCCATGTACTGTGGAACCTGGAGTTTGCATTGCAACTGCATGAGAGTGTAGAAGAGAGAGGGAAAGGAATCGATGAAATGGACATGGAGGAAGGAAGCTATGACGGAACATGTAAAGGCAAGAAAGATCCTAACGCAACCATGGGTTTTGACGGAAATGTAATGGATTCTCGGAGCGGCGGGATGAGTATGAGCATGGGTGGTCATAGCCTGGCTAGTAACGACTCCGATGGATTGACACCAAGTGCTTTTTTCTCACAGATCATGAACCCTAAAGGGCATTGAGATGAGGGATTGCATGTTTTTGTTACTCGAGCAGCGCACGCTATGGAATGGAAATTCAAGTTTGGTTGTGGCATATATTTACTTACAATTAGTGTATTTGTTTGTACGTATTCACTTTGGTTATGTGGTTCAATCCAAGTTGGTTGTTGTAATTTGCATGGAGAAAATAAAAGGTTGCACTGACATAATACACAAACTGATTGTAGTTCCATTACAAAGTAAAGGAAGCACGAAGGGGGGAGGTAGAAGAGCCGTTATGGCATTATGCATGACATGAGAACGACATACTGGGCAATGGCATTGCGCATGACATAATGGATAATGGCATTGTGGATGACATAATGGGTAATGACCTTGTGCATGACATAATGGGTAGGTTGTTATGTTGCCCGCCCTATCTTTAGCTTTAGTATGAGAAAGGAAGCGTGAGGCGATGGAAGAGCTGTGTTTATGTCTAATTCGGTCGTGTAATCTGAGGTGGTCGTGTAATCTGAGGTGGCCATGTGAATGTTTTGAACCAAAATGGACAATGTGATAATGATAGAAAACTAAGGAAACTCTATTAATTGAATTCTAACCAAGTTTGTTTCTTTTACAATGCGATAATGACATAATGGGTAACGCTTATGCTCTTTTTTAACATCTAAATAAATCTAAATGTGTGCTTATGTTATCCAAAAAAAAGTACGTGTGTATATGTTCGAGATTGTGGCTCAAAATTATATATGCACGAATCAAACGATCTTGATAGTAAAAATATTATTGTGATTCTTTGAGTCTCAAGTTCGAGTACTATGAATGTTAGGAGTATGAACATTCCATCTCAAATGATTGAGAGTTATTTTTGAACAAATGATATCTTATATTTACCTCGAATTAATAAAAAAAATATATAATGTCTATTTTAATCTTAAATTCTAAAATCTAAAACTTCAAACCTTAAAACATAAATTCTTAATCATACGAGTAAACTCTAAATTATATCCTTAAATACTAAAATAAATAAAATTATGTAAATTCTAATTTAAACAGTTTATATATAAGGATTTTTTAATATAAATGATAATTTGACTCAATTTTTTTTTAAAAAAAATATTAGGATCCGTTTGGTTCTAGACAATATAAATCTTTCACATATGTCTCCTAATTTAGTAATAACTTTTTTTCTATTAAACTTTATTTATTAATATCTAAAAGAAATAGATTTGTAACTATATTTATGTAATATTAAGTTTGTCATTATACTTTGTTTGGTGAAGCATTGCACTTCTGAGACTAATATAAACTTGATACTATATTTTAATTCAATTTTAACTGTCGTTCCTTCACCTTTTTATTATTGAATTCTACCATTAAAATGTGATTTTTGTTTGAATTTTGTTATTCCATTTTAATTTGAAATAATTTGTCGGTTAAATTTGCCTTCAAAATTTCCAAAGTCAATAATGACTGAAAAATTTTAATCATAGAAAAAAAATTGATGGAAAAGTTGAATAAAAATCATACTTGAGTTACAAATTTCAACAGTAATGACAAATTAGATCATAATATCAAGCTTAGTGAAAAATGTCAATACTCAAATTGAGTTCAATGATAGCAAATTTACCTTTTAGCCCTGGAATATCACAAATGCTAAAAATGCGATTTGTTAAATACACAACCTTTCGCATAAAACAACACTTTCCATCTCAGTTGTAACCTTTGCATACAAGCAAGCATAGGATAAAGTAAGGATAAGGCATTCCAAGAATTACAATTATATATTAACAAACAACACTTTCCATCTCAATGCAACCAAAGCTCTCAACTCACAAAAACACAAACAGAAGGCTATGTTCATTGCTGATTCTCCAAAACCAGTAACCTCACCGATGTCAATTCCTATAACTCCCCATTGAATCCAAAACAGCAGTGATCTTCTTCTGCAACTCTGGCTTGTTTGCTCCAACAAGCTTGTCGATTTGCTGCCCATCTTTCAGAAAGAAAAATGTAGGAGTGGCTTTAATATCCCATGAAGTGCTGAAATCCTGTAATCACAAACCAAATTCTCCCACTTCACAACTAACACGTGAATAATAAGGATAATACTTCTTCACAGAGGTCACAAGTTCGAGCAGCAACTAACTCTGCAGGGTGTGTGTGCGTTATCAATAGGCTAGGAAAACATCTAACAGATACTACCTTGTAATCACCTCAGACTATTCAAATAATAAGAATAATAATAATAATAGTCGTGTGCCTGCCGACTTTGGAGTCCTATACATTTGTTACACCTAGCCAAATTTGTTTTTATGAAAGGGAACTAAGATCTTGCTTCAGAAAATTCCACTAACAGTACCAAAGTGTAAATTCTGACTTGTGAGGATATGTTCCATTATCCATATCGTATTACTCATGCATAATCACTAGCTCCACGGATTAAAGAAATAAAATGGCAGGTGGCAGGTAGACATTTCGATACTTACGGTTAGTTCATCAACATCTATCAACAAGAACATCAGAGAAGAGTGCTTCTCTGAGAGTTCACAATAAAATGGTGCAAGCATTCTACAAGGGCCACACCATGTTGCGCTGAAGTTTGCAATTACCTGATAAATCATTAGGCTTTAGACATTAGAGAACTCAAGGCTTTCATAAAGATGAAAAGCATACAAGTGAACTAAGAGCAAGTATAATTTCCGGGCAACGGTAAGGAGAGAGGAATCCAAAATAATAAAAAAAGTCCCGATGATATTTTCATGCATAGAAGCTACCTCATTAATGTAATACAAAAAGAACTTGAAAAATTCACATTCCAGACAAATTACAGAGTAACCAAAATTTCACAGGGCCTCATCTATAACTTAAAACTAAAGACAGGAAGAAGAAGAAAACAAAATAACAGAAAACTCTCATTATTCTATGAAACCATGTTCCCGGTTATTATGTTTATCTCAGAGAAAAATAGTTTACAGAGCTTTTCCTAACTTAGAATCAGTTATTGTTGATGAGTTCTTTAGAGGAGACTTTCATGGTAAACACTGTAGTATAATGGATATAGATAGCTATCCGCATGTCGAATTTTCATGTGTGAGCTCAGATTATTACTCCAAAAGGGTATAGAAATTAACATGTAACTAAAAAGCGATATGACATTAAACAGAGAGGTTTGAGAAATGAAGGGAAAATCCTCTAGCATAGTTACCCCTGTTCTGTTGCCTTGGCCGAGTAGAAAGCATTAAGAAACTTACAATCTTGCCATCTCTCTTTGCTTCAGACAACTTCTGATCCCAATCCTCTTTGGAGGTAACACGGTGCACATTTCCACCGACAAACTCAACAGCTTCATCCAAATCGGCTCCATCGGACTTATCCTACAAGTATCACAGGTATCATACAACTTTAACAAGGTACTAGTAACCCATGCAGGATCACAATCAGCATTAAGACGACAAAAATGTTGGTAAAGACTATACCATTATCTTTGTTAGTTAAAAGAACACATCATTAACAAAACCATGACCACCATTTAACTCATCATAGTGTTGTGAATCTCATTCTCAAAGAGCACCCAGTTTCCCAAGGCAAGGCATTAGAATCCTGAGAAACAATCTCTAAGACATTGGAGTTGTCACTAGTATACTGAAATGCTTGTTTTCTTTTCTATAAATAAAAAAGTTCAATTTTCCTTTGAGTAATTCTAAAAATAAAAGTTAAAAGGAACAAAGAGGTCTAGAAAACCAGTTCACCTGACAAACTACAAAATATACCATATACTAAACACATGTATTTTTATAAACTGAAATAAAATTGTTTTGATCTATTATTAGCGTGAACAAATTGCAACAAACACAAAAAAAGGAACCAAATACCATGGCTTCATAAGAACATAAACAAATTCAGTTTCAGTTTCCAAGAAATGGTAGGAGCAATATATTCTTCTTCTTAGAGCTCTTTGAAAATTTAGTTTTCTCATTTAAAGCTGTCGAATAATCATCATCATGACGCTGAGCCTTTGCATCGAAAATTCCACATGTCCGATAATGGAAGCAAAGTATCATCAAATTTTGATCTTGAAATGTTTCAGAATTTCGTAGTTTATTTAATTAAAGATCCATTACATTTTGGCCAACAAAATGTAAATAACATGTGCTAAAAGCACTTACCCTAGAGAAGCAATGTCCCATATTTTTAAAAATTGCGAAAATGCCAACTGCAGCATTCAATAAGAGCCCTGGAAAGACATCAAAGTCAAGAAATCGCAGACTAAGTCCGTGGCAAATAAACAATTTGATCCATAGCAAATAAACAATTTGATCATCAATTTATAGGGGGAAAAAACAATCTTAAAACAAGTTTAGATTAAATCCGTTCTACTTCTACTTCCACACCTACAATAAACTTAAAATAGGCATATATTTACATTTCTGAACAAATTACGGTCCATTCTAATTTCCAAACCCAGAAATTACGAGTACACAAGCCCATATCATGCTGTTAGCTTTCTCAGATCTTTTCCATATCTCAAAAGAAAATCTCCAAAAATGAAATTCCCATTGGATTGAACAAATAGTCAAAATGCCAACAGCAATTCCACCATAACTTTCGACTTCTCACTTGAATTATCAGAATTTTAATCTTTTAGTTCTTTTTTTCTTTTAACATAAACCAAGAAAGGAAAGAGAGCAGTAAAAGAGTAATCTGAAAGTACTCCATAAAGGGAAACAGAAAGAGAAAGCCAGTTAGGAGTGCAGGCTAAGAAAATTAATTATATATATATATATATATATATATATATATATATATATATATATATATATATATAAAAGAAGAATGCATCGATTAGCAACTCAGAACAAAGCGACGGCAAATTCACCTGTAAAAATTAAGGGTCGATTTTCCGAACAGATTATGACCAACAACAACTAATGAAAAATTGCAGTTTTAAGGGATCAAATTCGAAGCAGAAATTAAAGAGAGAAGCACAAAACACACAAATTAGGGTATAAAAAGCTAATGAA